TTGCAGGTATGTCTGCTGGTTCGGACTTTGGATTGACTGCCTGCGATCATATACATATATATGGATGAGAGAAATCTCATTGTGATTGTGAGAAGTGATCGTCACATAATTATAACCCTCCATATATATGTAAATACATATGTATTGAGTGTTTCGCACGACCTACTGTGATCGTGCGTAAGGGTTTAAAAAATTATGTTTTTTTAGATAAGGGATATCCATTGTTATCCTTTGTTTTTTAGAGTTTTATAGTTGGACGTTGTAGTCCGTGACAGCCATCAAAGTCAAACCTCTTTATTTCTCTCCAGGCCCTAGATGATGGAGCTGGTCTCTAGGGCGATAAGATACGATTGTCACCACAAGTATGAACCTGTGTACCACCCACTCTCTGCAAGGTGCAGAAGAGGGTGTGGTTCTCAACCACACTTGGCGGTTGTCCAACGTCGAGAGATCAAGCCTTCAAGGCGCGTGTCAGCCGACACTTGAGTGTCGAATACGACCCTCTAGAATAACGAGGACCGCATGAGTATGGGTACTACATAGTACGCCATCATTTCGACTGCTTGTGTATGCTTGCATTGCGAGTCGATACGAGTTAGCCCTGCGTCCGCAAGGTTTTATACTAAGTCTCGCGCTCGACGCCTATCCGATTTTCCGCATCGAAGAGTTATGCGATGGCTGCTAAGGGACTAGGAGTGTTGTCGCATTGTTTGTTATGTGTGCTTCTGTATATATGTGCGTATGCGTGCGTGTTTTATTTTTATGTTCTTTAGAGTGGTGTATGCATGGTGTGTGGGATGCGTCCTAGTCGATCGACGACAAGTCGCGCTTGGGACCTCATCCCCCCCAAGGCGTTGGTTCGCGTGCGAGTCCAATAGAGGTGTAAAACCGTGTGTGGACTGGTAGCTCAGCGGGGATACGCCCACCGAAGGGAGGTGACAGCTCGCGTAAGGTGGAGGTAAGTCATGTCTCGCGTAGGCCCTATCCTGTCGTAGGGACTCGCGAGAGGTATGGCTGGCGCACTCGGTCGGAGCGGCTTGCGGAAGCTCCATGTGTATTCGCGACGAGGATCAGACCAACTCCTGCGTGACGCGGCTGGGAGGGTCCCGCCCCGTTTCGTGCGGTGTCGGACCAATGCGCTCGACAGCGGGCCCGGTACCGCCGTGCGACAACTCGGTTCACGGTCACATGTTCCACCGACGTCCGACATTGCATGGATGGACAATCCGTCGTTCGTCCACGGGACCTGGTTTTGGAAAAGTTCAAGACGACTCAGGGGCCGACCTCATCCTTTGACATAAATTTGTGGCGTCATTTCCTCCATTCGTCATTGTCCAAATGCGGACCGTGTGAAAACGTCCACAGACGATCTTCCAGGCCACGAAATGACTGTGGGGTCCCGGAATACGGTTTTTGAAAGACATTTCGGCCTGCAGCGGGCCTTCATCTGCCCTGGCCTACAGCCAGGGCCTATTTGGCTATTTGCCAGTTCGGCCTGTGGGACCAGGCCGTGGCCTGACCCCACAGGCCGTATATTGTTTCAGTCCAGTCCAGTCCCGCCCGGTACCACGGTCGGTACCAGGCCAGTCCAGTCCAGTCCAGTYAGTCCGCTGGGGGTATACCCCAGCTGCAGTCTGTTTTTCGGACTCTTCTTCACTCTTCACTTTCGCAGATCTTGGAGTACTTGCGTGTGGAGTCTGCATCGGAGCTGCGCTGTCCCCTCCAGCTCCATCTCTACCTCCTCCTTCGTCTCCATCCTAACGGACCGCCATCCCGGCGGGTCAGGCACACTGGTATCAGAGCGGGAACGGTCCCGGCTCCAACCCGTCCTTCCCCCCGCAGGCAACAGCGGGTGCGGGATAGGTGTAATCCCGACAGCGGGATTTTCAGGGTTTTTTTGTTGAAAACAGTGCGGGATAAGTGTAATCCCGACAGCGGGATTTTCAGGGTTTTTTTGGTTGAAAACAGCGCGGACACGTGGCGAAAAGAAGAGAGAGCGTTACCACGCACGTGCGCGCAAGCGCCAAGGCCAAGGCCGCCGCACGCACGCGCCACGTGCC